ATTGATTATTCTCTCTGTCTTTCTCCCTTCCTTCCACTCTCTCTAAAAAAAAGAAAAATCAATGGAAAAATATCCTCGAGTGAGGATTAACAACAACAACAACAGAAGGATATTTACTTAATAGTGAAAAGCATCAGAGTATCTTGTGCATATTTCTCAACTCTTAAAATGAGGCTGATATTTCATACCTATACATAGCAGCTATGCATTGCAGCCATATAATCCAAACTATTGATCTGAACCAAAATAGGATTGTGTGCAACCTCTCACTCTAAAATATTTGAACCTTAGTATATCACACACACACACACACATACACACACACACACACACACTCACAAATTTAGCAATCTGGCTCATAACTTTCCTCTGGATTACCCAGTTAAGCCATGTGACTGCCAGTTAATCATCACAGCTCCCACCTTTGCTATTAGCTTCCATGTCACTTTGGCCAAGCTGCTTAACTTCTGGGGTCTCTTAAAATTGGGGGCTTTATTTCTCTATTTCTTTGAGTGGTAGTTTTCCATTTCAGTGAAGATTTGAGTATATTTACCACCAGTAGAAGGAATCTATAAGAAGCTCCTTATTATGTAGCAAGAACATAACTTTACATACAGTGTAAAATGCACCATCTTGTTTCTTTTCTTTTTTTAGGAGGAATTCTTATAACACACACATTTTTTAAAAATCATTTATTTTATTTTTTACTGATTTTTTGCAGAGAGGAAGAGAGAGGGATAGAGAGTTAGAAACATCGATGATAGAGAATCATTGATCAGCTGCCTCTTGCACACCCCCTACTGAGGATGTGCCCGCAACCAAGGTACATGCCTTGACCGGAATTGAACCTGGGACCCTTCAGTCTGCAAGCCAACACTCTATCCACTGAACTAAACTGGTTTCGGCAGCACACACATATTTTTTAAGATTATAGCTTTTCATCTCTGTTTAGGTAGAAAATATTAAATTGGCGTGGGCTTATCTCTCTCTCACCCGTTTCCTTATCTATTACCTTTGGTAGCTAACTTTCTGCATCAAAATTGCCATATTTTGTTTTTGAAAGTAGTATAGACATATTTGGGTGATAATAGCTTGAGGTATCTTTTCAGATTCATGTGATATAGTTCAGTTTGGTTATAGGTCTAAAAGATATGTAATAAAAAAAAAAAGCTGTCACATTAGAATGTAATTCCTAACACTGACTTTTACAAAGAGAAATTTGATACAATTGATTTTAAGAGGAGTTTTTGTTTTACATTTTTAAAAAAATATATTTTATTGATTTTTTACAGAGAGAAAGGGAGAGGGATAGAGAGCTAGAAACATTGACCAGCTGCTTCCTGCACACCCCCCACTGGGGATGTGCCCGCGACCAATGTACATGCCCTTGACCGGAATCGAACTTGGGACCCTTCAGTCCGCAGACCGACGCTCTACCACTGAGCTAAACCGGTTTTGGCTGTTTTACATTTTTAATAAGTGTATATCTCAAAAAATTTGTATCTCAGCTTTCCAACTCACACTGAATTTTATTTTTGAAAGATTTCTGAACAGAAATTTGAAGATAACAGTTTTTTTTTAAAATCTACAAAAAACTTTGTTGAAATTTCAATGCCCATGAATAGTTTTTAAAAATCTTCACTGCTTCTCTATTAAACTCTTCCAAAAATACACTTTTCCTTTCCCCAAAAATATTTTCAGTACCGTCTCAAGTGTACATTAGGCAAATAGATCGTTTCAAAATGACTTATAGAGTGCTCGCTTCAGCAGCACATATACTAAAATTGGAACAAAATGACTTATAGGATGAGATTTTCTTTTCTTCAGGATGTGATCCTATTAAAATTCCTGTTTTACCAAAATATCTTCCCATTACTTAAAGAATCCTTAAAGGTTGGATGCACAAAATCATTATTTATTATAAATTAATGTGTCACATGCTAATTGAGAGCATTTTAAATAAGTAACAGCATTTAGAAAGATCTTTGTAAGAGTGGAATTGCCTTTTTGATCTACTTTGGGAATATTTGTCTTACATGAAAGCTTTATTAGCACTATTTATGAAAACTGTTTCAGTACTAGGTCAAATACCCAATTTGGGAAAGATGACTATGAATCAATTGCCAGAATTAGAAATTAACCTACTAATGAATTTTTTAAAAACCCAAGTTATATTAAATTCAAGACATAACACTATAAGGTATATGTTACCTAATAGTTGATGTGCTGGGTGTTAATTTGGGAAATTGAAGGGGAGGGGCTAACTGGATGCTCTTAACAAACACCTTGTATTTACAAGTCACATCTAGCAACCTTAGCTATCTGGATTTTTAAGAGGACCAAGAAGCAGGTAAAAAAGATCATTGAGCTGGTAGCCACAGTTGATGTCATAAAGTCCATTAACTCCAGGACTGCATCTTGTTCCCAGTTAATGCCCCAGAGGGTAGATGGCACATTTCTTAAATACAAACACAATCAGAATTGCCTTGCAGCCTATTCCTTCTTATTTTTGACACAAATTCTAATAAGTTTAATTATCTGATTTGTACATTCCAGGTAGATTGCCAGCCAGGAGGAGATCTAGGGCATTAAGAGTCAAGGAAATGGAAAAATAGTTAGAGGTGATGAATCAACATCCTAGCCTTCTTCCCTTTTCTCAAATGTATCTCTATCTGAACCACTTGTTCCTTAATCTTCTCCAATCTCAATAAGTTTTCTTTTCCTGGTCAATGCTTCTGGAATCCCATTTCTTCAACCTCTTAGGAAACCTTGTATTATTCAGCATCTCTAACCTGTCAGATACCCTGTTTCCCCCAAATTAAAACAGTGTCTTATATTAATTTTTTCTCCCAAAGTTGCGCTACGTCTTATTTTCAGGGGATGTCTTATCTTTCCATGCTGCTAGGTCTTATTTTCGGAGGATGTCTTATTTTCGGAGAAACACGGTACTAATAGCCCTTTTCCTCATTCTATAAACACCTTAAAGATATCCTTGTATCCCCCTAATAATTACTTGCCCACTGTCCTTTCTGTTATTCTAAACTTCTTGAAAGGAGTATTGTGTGTTCCCCATCCCAAGTTCTTGATCTTCTACAGTCACTCCTTGTTCACTCTTAAACCTGCAGCAATTTGACTCATAGGCCTCAAATTCTATCTTGCTAGATCCAATTGCAACTTCTCAGACTTCTCTAATATTTTACACTATTCTCCCACACTACCAGAAACTGTTTCCTTCATTGACTTCTGTGGTACTATTTTCTTACCTGCCTTTTCTACTTTTTTTCCTGCTCCTTGATCCCTCAAATAGTGGTATTCCCAAGGGCTTTGCCTCTGGTCCTCTTTTTACTACTTTCTGTCATTGAAAAATGTCTTTGTGGTTTAACTACCACTTAGGTTCATCAACCACTTGACTCAGACACAGGTATTTTAAACTCAGCAGATCTAACACTGAACATACCCATCTTGCACATATCCCTCTCTACCCTCCCCCATACACAAAATTTAAAAAATTAAACTCCACACAAAATAACTACAAACAAAATTGAAATGCATATATTCTTCCTCCTGTATTCCCTATCATCATGAACTAGCACCGGCATCTACACAGTCAGTCACTCAAGCTGTGTGGAGTTGGAATCCATTCAAATTATCTCCTATCACACCTCTGACATCAATTTGGTCAATTCTGCCTTCTAATCAGATCTCTAGCCTATCCCTTATGCATTTCCACTTCATTAACCCAGTTGAGGACCATATTATTGGACATCTGAACTCTAGCAATAGAGGTGCTTTCTAACTTAATAGTACCACTCTTCCATCTGCCATAACTTCCTGACTAAAATCCTGCTGCACTTTTTTTTTTTTGGCTGTGAGATAAGGCCAAAACTACTAGAGCATACAATGCCTTTGTGAGCTGATACTAGTACCCCTTTCCTGCTGCTTTTCCAGCCAAGAGTACCTCTTGATTTGATGTTATAGCTATGCCAACCTTTTTGTGTTTCTCCTGAAGTGCCATGTTTCCAAACCTTCCTTATTTTTGTCTGTGTTGTTCCCTGTATCTGGAGTGCCTTTTCCCCATTAACTGCATAGTTAATTCCTACTCTTTTTTAAAAATTTTTTTATCTTTATTGTTGAAAGTACTACAGATGTCCCTCTCCCCACACCCATTGATCCCCTCTACCCATCCCCTGCCCCAAACCTTCACTCCCCTATTGTCTGTGTCCATGGGTTATGCATACAAATTCTTTGGGTCATCTCTCCCCACCCACCCCTGCCTTCCATCTGAGACTCATCAGCCTGTTCCATGCTTCTATATCTCTGGATCTATTTTACCCATCAGGTAAAAACAGCTCCAGTGTTACTTCTTTTTAAAGTATGTCTTGTGTAACAAGGCTGAGTTGAGCGTGCTTTTGAACACTTCCAGGCCTGCCTCTATCACAGTCCATTTTTTAATTATAATCACTGATTTTTTTTTTTGTCTGATTCTCACACTGGACTGATCATCTTGAGACCGACAGTTATATCACCAAGGCTAGTTTGCATCTTTCCCCACTAATAAATGACTCCAGATTGCTATGCAGTGGGTTCTTGGGTCTGCGTAGTATAGTTGTTCACTTGGTTCATTTCATTAATACTTCACAACCTGCAGTGTTCCACTGTGCTTCGACATCATAACAGTTTGCCTCTAAAGGCTCACAGCATGATCATCAAGGAAAAGCTAATTATATTTATCCATTATCTTCTGTTTCAGAAATCTGGGAAGTATGTGATCATTTATATAACTTCCACCCAAAATGACTGCATTTTGGGGGTGCTTAAAAATGTGTGATTTTGTTAAAACACTTTTGTGGGACATCTTATTTGCTGGTAATGAATGCCAATTACTTGTTGCTTTGGTGTAAAAAACAAATATGTATTGAGAAGTGCTCTCATTTTAACTTAAAATTTACAGATTTGAAGTTCTGTCACTTTCTGTCTCAATTTCCTTTCTCCACATCTAGCTCGAGACTGCAGTGCAGATGAAGACAATTTCCTTGTGCCCATAGCAGTGGGAGCAGCGTTGGCAGTATTACTTATTCTTGTGTTCCTGATTTACTTAATTGGTCTCAAGCACCATCACACTGGATATGAGCAGTTTTAGAACCTGCAATCTGATTGATTATATAAAAATACATGCACATAAAATTTTCTTGTCTTTTCATTTTGAAACACTTTTCTCCTTAAAATTAATTATTAAATCAGTGCCAGCATTTTGAGATAAATCTTTATAAATAAAAACCTGTTGTCTTTGATCAGCTTAAAATAAAAAATGTTTTTGCTGGTCCTGAATATAAACTTGCTAAAAAGAACATTGGTGTGCAATGTTTTAAGATCTGTCTTAAGCTTTGGCCAAATTTTGATCCTAAAATGCCTTAAACTTGTTAAAATGGTCATTATAAGAATAAAATATGTACCTGTCTCTTAATAGAATTAATAAGTATTATTTCACTACTAGTATTCTGTTTCAATGTATAAGAACTATACTGATTTAAACTCATCACAGTGTCTTTGCATACAGTTCATTAAATATTGATGTGGCATGAATGTCCATTAGATATACTCAAACTTGCTTTTCAGTTGAATGACCTCGGGGCCATCAGCATTTTTTAGGTTATGTGACTGTTGATTTCTTTGAGTCCAAGTTACAGATGAAGTCAGTTTCTTAGGCTTATGACTTTTATCTTCTAGGTAAATAATAGAGCCAAAGGTACAATAGAACTTAACCTGGCCTGAGAATTAGTTTTGTTTGTTTTGTTTTGTTTTTATGTTTCATTTTCCTCAATAGATACTGAAAAGATTCAAGCATATTTAACCACTTGCCTTTTTTTTTCTTGTTATTCTTGTCTTTGGATGCCTGATTAGCATTGAAAAATAGAAATATTTTATGAACTAATTAGGACAGATTGTGTTGTGTTTCTGTACCTCATTTTGTTGATCTCTAGAGCATTAAAATCTATTTAGTGTTGTCATTGACTGGTACCTATGAAATGTAAGCTAACAGCAATCTTAGAAGGGATGCAGTGAAGCATAGCAACTAGGCTTTTGCTTCTTCATGATTGTCCCTGGGGCACAGAGCATAAATGGAGGGTAAATAGAAACTGTTGGCATTATTAAAATGCTTCAATAGGGGCTAGATAACCCGCCCCTATTGAAGCATATTCCTTGTTATATAGATATTGAATATAAAAACAAGAAGGACTCTAAATCAATAGACTTGAGAAGATTGTCACGTTGTAATGATTATTTATTCATTCTATGTGTATATTGGCTTGCTCAGAATTTCTGTAACTCACCAATTATAGTGTTTTAGTACCTAGCTATCAGTCTCTGAAAGCTTTCATTACATAACACACAGGAAATTCTTTCAGCAAAGGCTACCATAATTACTTAAAACTCATATATTCAGAATCTTAGCGACTGTTTTCTTATTTTTATGAATAACAAAAGTACAAGAGGAGAAAAGATAAACTTAGCGGAAAATGCAAGTTATTTAATCATAAATCATACCAAATATCACATTTTATTAATTGCATTAGACTTATACTGGAAAGGGCCTTAAAGATTATTTACTCTTAACTCTATAATTTTACAGATAGGGAAGTAACTTCAATGAAATTACATATCTAGTGATCAACAAAACCTTTATTAGGATTTTGATTTAAAAAAATTGTCCCAGTAAAATGTAGTCACTGAATAGTAAAACTAGTTTAAACTTAAAATTATATGATCAGAATGGGGCACTTTGAATTTCTGTACTACTTCCAATAAATAACACAGGATCTCAACTTATTTTAAGTATTTTTAAAGCAGTGAATATTTGCTTTTTCAATAATAATAATAATAATAAAATACTGGAACACTCCTATTTTGATCTGTTTGCTACTTTAAAACCTAAACCTCCTTGGACAGGATCTCAAACATGGGAGGAAAACAGAAGGAAAAGAACATTTGTTGATCACCTGATGTGTATCAGATGCTTTAGAAATGCAATTAGATTTAATCCTCAAATACCTTATAATAGGCATTATCCCTCTTTTACAGATGAGAAAAGTGAGGCCAATGCTCTGGTTTCTCTTCAGACCGCATAAATCTTTCGCCTTTTACTAAAGAGAAAAGTGAGGCCAAGTTTAAATAACTTGGCCAAGGTCCTTTATTTAGTAATTGATGGAGTTAAGATTCAAACTCAGTTCTGTCTAAATCCAGAGCTCAAAATCTATGTGGCACACACTGCCTTCTGGGTGGTCCAGTGGAATGAACTGAAATGTATAGGATTCTTCTGTTATTCTTCCAGGCCACTGCTCAGCTAAAAATAACTGTATATAATCCTTTAATTACCTATTGCATGTGTGGAAAAGTTTATACTGCATATTTTTAATCCTAAGTCCTTTTCCATTTAAATTTTATTATTCACACAGAGTTCTTATTTATATTTCAATTAGAGGCCTGATGCACGAATTCATGCACCAGTGGGATCATTCGGCCTGGCCTGTGGGGATTGGGCTGAAACTGGCTCTCTGACATCCCCTGAGGGGTCCCAGATTGAAAGAGAATGCAGACCAGGCCAAGGAATCCCTCAGGTGCACAATCAAGGCTGGGGAGGGACCATGTCTGGCCCGTCTTGCCCAGTCCCGATTGGTTGGACCCCAGCAGCAAGCTAACCTACTAGTCAGAGTGTCTGCATTTTGGTGGTCAGTGCATGTCATAGAGACTGGTCGAACGGTCAAATGGTTGGACACTTAGCATATTAGGCTTTTATTATATAGTACTAGAGGCCCAGTGCATGAAATTCGGTCCCTAGGCCTGGCCAGTGACTAAAGTGCGAGCATCTGGCATGGAAGGGCAGGTCCCAACTGATCTCTGGGCCCTGGGCAGCACCTGGATTCCCGGGCCCCCGTGTGCCCCCCTCCACCTGAGTCATGGTGCTTGAGTCCCCACCCGGAGATGTGGTGAGCATGGCTGGATGCTGAAGGCTGGGCATAGTGTAGGCCTCTGGGCTTCCCAGTGGTGCCTCACAGAAGCCAGGTGGGCAAACGTGCTCTCTCCTGGCCAGCCTTGCAGACCATTTCCTTGCCAATCCATGGGGAGCTCAATCAGCCCGTGTGGTCCCGGTGGCTGAATCCTGGATCACCTGGAAGAGGCTATGTGGGTGTGGGGCAGGCTCCTCACAGGAGCCCCAGCACCTGAGCATGGGGCTTCCCCAGTGCACAAGCCCTGACATCCCAGGAGAGGGTAGCAGGCAGAGTCGGAGCAAGCTCAGCAGACACCCTGCATCTCGCCATCTGCAGGGCCGTTGATCTGGGCTGGGTCCCCCCCCCCCCCCCCACCGCCGCAGCTGACCATCTGTGAAGTGATTGGGGGGCGGTTGGGCCTGGCTCACACCTGTCTTGGCCTGGCGCCGCCCACTCACCTGCTTTACCATCCCATCAGGGTCCTGCTCCAATCGGGAGCCCATCAGGCCAGCAGCATCTCCACTGCTGCCTGCTGCCAGCACTGTGTCACTGATACCTGCCATGTTCCATGCCGCCCCCTGGTGGTCAGTGCACATTATAGCCAGCAGTTGAACTCCCAGTCAAGGGGACAATTTGCATATTAGGCTTTTATTATAGTTGTGGCAAGGGAGCAAAGGAGTGGGGAAATACTCAGGCAGTGGTCTTAGTTCTTTTCCCCAGTGCATTGCACAATTAAACATCAAGTCTCCCCATGTTAGGAAAACACAATTCTGTGTTTTGGACTTTGCCCCCCTTCTTTTCTTAACTTCTCTTTTGTGTACTGAGACATTTGGTGTGATCTGAGATGAACTGATGAGAGATATAAGGGGATCAGCTGTTTAGAAATCTTTAAGTGGATATAGAGAAAATAAGAGAATTGGGGTAATGCTCTAAAAAACTAACCTACATACACTTTCAAAATGCTTATTTCTTATTTGCTTGTTTCTGCTTAATTGCATTCTTTACTAATTTCTGTTTCTTGCTTTCTGTCCTTTTCTAACAGCTGAAGAATGTTCTGTGGACTCTGACCTCAACTTTCTTATTCCTGTTGCAGTGGGTGTGGCCTTGGGCTTCCTTATAATTGTTGTCTTTATCTCTTATATGATTGGAAGAAGGAAAAGTCGTACTGGATATCAGTCTGTGTAGCCAATTAAATTTAGTGCAATTGATTGTTTGAGATATGCAGACTAACCTCAGTGAATTGCTAGCTAACATGGGCTTGAGTAGCACTTATTTAAGAAAAAAAAAAGGTTTAATACCAATTTCCTTTGTTTTTATATTTTTCCTTTCTTTGTTAAAGTATAATTGAAAGAAAAATTGTGGCTTAGAATATGTTTTTTTAGTAAGAAATAATTTTAAGCCTCTTGATCTAATTATGAAAGCATATCTACTGAAGTATAATTTTATATGTTGCAGTTACTTGTATTTTGCTACTTTGACATTATTTGCAGAATCAAAGCTGTTAGAGAATTTAACTTGCTTCAGGAAATAAATTTAAGAAAATAGTGAATTCATTTTTGTGGGAGGCAAACAAAATTTGGTTCATAATAAGACTTCCTTTCCCAACCTCCTGATCAGGATTATTTAAATCTGTGTTTTTCTGCCTGTAAATAAAGGAAGGAAAGAAATGGCTTCACAAAACTGTATTCAATAGCAAAAGTCTGGCTCTTTTCTTCACTGTTAGTGGCTATTATATTTTAATGAGGACGCCTTTTTCTTTTCCTTTGGAGTTTAGACTATACTGATTATACAGACTTAACATTTATGCCAAAGGATGAAGTAAGATCTCCGTCTTTTTTTTAAGGTGTTGATATAGAGTGAGTTATGGTTTTTTTAGGGTTATGATTTAGAATGTTCTTTTTTTTCCTTTAGAGCCTTAACTTGTTCAGAAAGTTAATCTATCCTTCAATAAAAACAAATGTCTGTACTTTGTGTGCCTCCTGTACTCTCCCATTCCCTATGTGAATAAGTTCTAATGGGTATTTTTAACGTATTTCTTTCTTTCTTCTCAAAGTAGCAAGTGCTAACTCTAGAGGCTAGAGGGCCCTGACATATCATCAGTTAGATGGCTGCCTAGCTAAAGCTGGACTGGGATGATTCTGTAAATTTTTTTTATCTTGATATGGATTTATATCGTGGAAGAGACCTCTAGCTTTTGAGGTAAGATTCTAGAGACTACTCATCCCAGTATCTGTTTGATTGGCAAGGCTTGTTGAATTGTCCTTTGATTTACAAGCACTGTGTTGTATTTCTCTAGAGCCCAAGTAGCTGCTTTGCACACCTGTTACTAGTATAAGGCAGATGTTTATTTTATCAAGCTATTTTTTCTCTATATAACTAAAAACAAAGGTTTCCAAAGATCTGTCATTTCAAAAATGTTCCATGGAATAATTAAGCTTAAACCTCAAGTTGGTTTGTTATTAAAATCAAGGATCAAGTCACCATCTACTCTCAGCACAATGCAGATGCTCACCACTGTATTGTTGCCATTAACTGATGCCAGAACTCTACCAAATACTGAAACTATAACATCTTTTTTAAAAAAAATAAAAATAAAATTTATCAATATCTTTCTTTACTATCTTACCTATATGTGCATCTCAAAAGCATATTTCCTAACTGGAGTAGAAAGTCAGATTGCTCAATCACTTCTCCATTTGAACACTCTAGTTCTGACTTGCAGAGTCAAGCTCTCCCCTATTTGCTAAGTATATCAAGAATGTTTTCTTGACCTAGCCAGTTCTGCTCAATGGATAGAGCGTCAGCCTACAGACCAGAGGGTCCCGGGTTCAATTCCAGTCAAGGGCATGCACCTTGGTTGTAGGCTCCTCCGCTGCCCAGGCCCTGGTACAGGAGGCAACCAATCAATGTGTTTCTCTCATATCGAGGTTTCTCTCTGTCTTTCCCTCTCTCTTCCACTCTTCCTAAAAATCACTAGAAAAATATCCTTGGGTGAGGACTAACAAAAAAGAAAGAATGTGCCGAAACCAGTTTGGCTCAATGGATAGAGCATAGGCTTGGGGACTGAAAGGTCCCGGGTTCGATTCCAGTCAAGGGCATGAACCTTGATTGCGGGCATATCCCAGGTGAGGGTGTGCAAGAGGCAGCTGATCGATGACTCTCTCTCATCGATGTTTCTAACTATCTCTCTCCCTTCCTCTCTGTACAAAAATCAATAAAAATATATTAAAAAAAAAACTTTAAAAAAAGAATGTTCTCTTTTCAAATGTTCTGTAAAAGCAATTGGTTGTTGGTTATTTGACTAAAATGATGTCACCATAAAGAACAGTAGCTTCATTTCAATAAACATTTTGAGATAATTATCTAGAAGTTAGGTTATTTAAATCATTTTGTGACCTTTGTAAGTATAGGAATTGGAAATTCAAAATTATAGGTTTGTTTAAAAGTATTCTACGTTTTGGGTAGGGAACTAATATCACTATTTCTTCATTAAATTTCATGGCTTTATTTTAGATAATTACCAAATGTGTGTTTAATCTTGTTTGAGAATTAAGTTTAAAATACAAAATATTAATAGAGGGTTAAAACAACCACTGCTTCAACTCCAATAAAATACAGGAAGCCCCAGATCTATGATATGAGTGTCCAATAGCTTTGGTTATTGAGTTCATTTTTATATCAGTACAACAGTACATCAGACAGTATTGTTTTTCACCTAAGCTTCTTTGGAAGAACTGATGAAGCTAACTAAAGTTTTGGATATATCAATTTAAGGAACTAATTAATACCTACAAAATAAAGGATACTGTGGTACTCCTGTTTGATATGTGTGATTTTTATATTCAATGGATTATAAAATAATAAAGATCATACAATCCATATCACTGTGGATAACTTCATTTTTATTCATATACTCAGCTGTAAGAGCTTGGATTGATTTGTGTGATCTAAGTTCCTCAAATTCTAGTCTCTTGAATTGTCAATAGGAATCATATGATCTCAAAGGTCTGCATATTAACTAAGTTCCATCATTAAGAAGGTATTAGAACCTTTAGTTCAGATACCTCAAGTATGAGGGCCTGTCTGATCATGAATATTCCTGAAAACATTCTGAATCAAATCTGGGTCTGACAAATACAACAGCTTCTATATAAATGTACTTTTAGCATATATCTATCTGAATTGATGAACTGTACACATTGTTGAAGTTCAGGCCATCCTGAGCAAGATACTGGTATACCTCAGTGATTTGGCCAGGCTGAGGAAGAGCTGTTCATTTTCTGAAAATGTCTTCAAATTCCTTACAACATAGTCTAATGCTCAAGTGTTATATAATTAGAGTAAATGGCAACACACTCCATTTTAAATAAGGGACACTTTTTAAAAATTTCTTTATTAAGTTATCACATATTTGTCCTCATCCACCATTCCCATTCCCCACTCCTCCCCACTCATGTCTCCACGCCCCTTTTGTCCATGACCACTGGTTAGGCTCATATGTATGCACACAAGTCCTTTGGTTGACCTCTCTCCTTTATCCCCACCCTCCCCTACACTCCTTCTGAGGTCCAACAGTCTGATCCATGCCTCCTTGTCTCTGGGTCTGTTCTCTTTTTTTTTTTTTTTTTCTTTAACATATTTTATTGATTTTTATTTTTACAGAGAGGAAGGGAGAGGAATAGAAAGCTAGAAGCATCGATGAGAGAGAAACATCGACCAGTTGCCTCCTGCACACCCCCCACTGGGGGTGTGCCCGCAACCAATGTACATGCCCTAGACCGGAATCGAACCTGGGGCCTTGCAGTCTTCAGACCGACACTCTATCCACTGAGCCAAACCGGTTTCAGCTCTGGGTCTGTTCTTGTTCAGCAGTCTATGTTGTTCATCATTTCCCCTAGATGAGTGAGATCCAGTAGGAAATACACTTAAAAGAACTGAAAATGAGACAAGCAATAATAGTTATGCTGAAAGGCAAATGAATCAGTCTATAGTGAGTTTCTTTCTGGGCCAACAGTTCCTTTGAGACCCAATTTCAATATCAAACAGTTCCTCATGTGTATATGTCAGCAATGATATTTCAGTTCTGGATGGTGAACAAATGGTAGTAATGCAGGTGCTGAGCAATCTGCAGTGACGCAGAGCTGCTGACTGCTATTATGGCAAGGCGAGGTCAGCGTTTTCCATCTCTGGACTGCTTCTCTTCTGTCTTCATGCCTGGAGTAGTCCTGTCAATTCCTCTCTGTTGCAGGAATCCACATGGTCTCAGAGTTGTTTTCTGAAAATATAAAAACATATTCTCGACCAAAAGTTAATAAAGGAATATTTTCTATAAATTTGACTTGGGATCCTTCTTCATTTTTTGCCCAAATGATTTTCCTCTGGCTTGTTTTGACACAATTTGTGTTTTTCATGGGTGTCTTGCTGTTAGCATTAAAATTAATTTTCTAAAGTACAAATTTTCTAGATGTAATTTACTTATAGGATATTTTTCCTTACATGATATTCTACTATCCCCACTTTTTTTATTTAAATATTAGGAGGCTTGTCAGAACTGCTCTCGGGTCTGACTCCAAAGCCCCTGCTCCTCCCACAGGGCAATGGGGGTCTCACCTGTTCGGTCATGTGCCTGTGACCTGCCAGACCCCGGGCCTGAGATTCTGGGGTTCCCTCTGTGCTGCCACCTCCACAGTACCGAAGGCTTAGTACCTAAGACTCTTAGTGCCACAGCGCCCATGGCCAGGGAGCCCAGAAGGAGAGGTGAAATGTGGACGTGATGGAGGTACAGCAACGGCAGCCCACGAGCTGCACCTTCCTCCCTGTGAAACCAGGGACTTTGACGGAGGGGCTTTCTCCAAGGTTTGCCAGGTTTTACCCAGTCTGGTTTCTCCCAGGAGTCATGGGGGATACTGGGTGAAGAGGGCTTTGTCTCTGCTGCTCAGAGCCCAGGGCTCTTAGGGGAGACACCTGGGGAAACACACTGAGCATGTGCAGTTGGCCTCAGAAGAAACTCTTGTCCGGCCTGTGTGGGTCAGTGGTTGAGCATCAACTTATAAACCAGGAGGTCACAGTTCAATTCCTGGTCAGCACATATGCCCAGATTGCGGGCTTCATCCCCTATAGAGGGTAAATAGGAGGCAGCCGATCTCTCTCATCATTGATGTTTCTATCTCTCCCTCTCCCTTGCCCCTCTGTAAAATCAATAAAAACATATTTTAAATAAATAAATAAAAATAAATATTAGGAGGCTTTTGAAAATTTTATGTAATCTTAATAGCGTTTAAATTTTAATTTTTGCACTATAATATGACTGCTTTAAGTTCATTACATGTCATGCAATTTTATCATGAGATGAACTACCAATAAAAATTTTAGTTAACATAAATAAGGGACCCTTCTAGTGGCAGAAAGAATTAAACATGGGCTCTCTATAGTTTCTGAGTAATAGGGTTTTGTATTCTGATTGTTAGACACTTACTGGTTTTAAGGAAAAAAAAAATGGCCTTACCTTGCTTTGTGATTACTGATAGCAAGAAGAGTGGTTCGGTGGGTCAAAAGTGGGATTACAGTTTGTATGGAAAATAATACAAAAATAAATAATAATACAAGAATAAACTCTTGTGTTTTATGTACTTACATCTATAAACTCCTTTGGCCCCCACCCTGTATATTGCTGTGAGGGTTACCATGTATCTGAAAAGTCAATTTGGTAGTTTCTCTTAAGTTCAAATCGTACACTCTGAATGCTAGAACTACCTTTAAAACTCTAGAGAAATGTTCTACTTTCTTTTTACTTTTACTATCTGTATTTTTTAAAATCCTTACTGAGGATATGTGTTTTATTGATCTTAGAGAGGAAGGAGAGAGAGGAGAAAAATAGATGTGAGAAACATTGTTTGGGACCAAAAAAATGGCAGCAGAATAGACAGGTGCGTCCGAGCCTTGTCCCTCTTGCACACACCCTACCGGGGATGTGCCCGCAACCAATGTACATGCCCTTGCCCGGAATCAAACCTGGGACCTTTCAGCGGGCTGAGGATTGCATGGAGAGTATTTGGTGGCAAGTTAAGGGACAGATATTATCCAGGAGAACGTGGGGGACTGAAGGACAGGGTTCCCCTGACTGAGCAGCCCCCACTGCTGCTGGGTTCCCTCCTAGAGCCACTGGCTCAGACATGGAGACTGCACCATCTTGAAGGGGAAAGTGGATGTTATTGGAAGCCTGAAAATCTGCACTGTGGCAACCATTGAACAGCTGTGAACCCCAGAACACCAGTCTCCAGTTGGCGCAAACATGCAGATTCAGAGGAGCTAAGGAAAGGTTAGATTTTGCCGGGGATAAGGTGAGGTCTCTGGTCATCTTTTCCTTAAGGAACTATTTTTTTCTCTTTTCCTCACTTGATTTTACCTTTTAATTATTACATTTTTATTTTCAATAAGTATTATTACTATTATTTTACATTTTTTAAAAGTATTTTATTTTCTCTTTATTTTACTTTGGGATTACTGTTCTACATTCTATTTTCATCTTTCCTTTAGCATTGTTCTACTCTACCTCAACTCTACCTTTATGCCATCACTCTCTTCCTAACTATTCTCCTTTTGGTGTCCTGATAATCTTACCCCTTTCCTGCTTTAGATTTTCCTTATTCTTTCTTGATTGGTAGGATCAGCATCATTAAAATGTCCAAACTACCCAAAGCAATCTATAGGTTCAATGCACTCCCCATTAAAATACCAAGAGCATATT